TCGTATTTTTACTTCCAATCTATGCCTTTGCCTCCCTTTCACAACAACGGGCAAAGAGGAGGGGAAACGGTATAGTATTGATTTGCTTCAAAAGTCGTTTGATATTATAGCTAAATTGGAGCCCAGTATTTATTAGCTGGCTAATATATCATATTAGATGGGCTATTCTCATGTCTTTGTTTTATCTAGAGAGGATTGGTGAAGTTGAGAAGAGCAATGCAAGGACGAAACAGTATTTTGGCAATCTATATTAGTTAGGTTTGGCTAGCTAAGGAGATAATCGTTAGCTAGGCACATCTAACTATTAGCTATCTTATTAGTTTGACCTATTTGGATCCATAGTAAATTATTATTAAAAATAGTGGATCTAGATGGGGGTTTAGTTATTTAAATTCTTTTTAGTTCGAATATGCTACATTTTTTTTGGTCACCTTCAAAACCAAAAATCCAATTGTTTTGCTCTTACATATTTGGCAACAACTAAGCTCTTCGCCAAGCAGACGATCCTCCAAAACTTTATTTGTGGTTATTAACAGATCACAGTTAACGCCAGCTGGTTAGTTATTAAGTGGGTTGTATATGGTTGAAATATGAAAATGTCTAATGCATTGTCATTGTTTTGTCTTAGAGAGGATTAACAAAGCTAGAGAAAGGGAGCAATGGAAGGACAAAATAGTGCTTTGGCAATATATCAGTAGAATTTGGCTAGCTAATGAGATAATCAATAGCTTGTGCTTACATATTAGTTGGCTTATTAGTTGGAGTTGTTTGGCATATCTCTAGCTTCTTGATTCTCAATGGAGTGACTCTGGCGGGGGTAGGTGGAAAGTGATCCCAGTGGAGATTGAATGGGAGGTTTTTTTTAGCTCTAGAGTAAATGGAAAAGTGATTCATATATGTTCCCACTAGAATCTGATTAGAATCTTGTTGTTTAGCTCAATGAGAAGTGATTCTCATAGAAAAGCCACTTCTTGTAAAACCAAAAGTCCAGTTGATTCAGATCTCACGTCATTGGCAACAACTAACCTCTTTGCCGGACATGCAATACGGAAGAATTTGATTGTTTTGCTCCAAAATCTTAGCAGGACTATAAGCCATGTTGGTTATTTAAAACTCCACAGAGCAAATCCAGGTGTTTCTTATAAATAATTTGCTAATCCAATAAGTTTAGCGAGTTAACAAAATGAATAACAACCTTAATTTATTTCCCTCTCCAACAATTTCCTATATTAGCTTCCTAAACGATTTTGCTTGGGAACCCGAAACTATTTCTAACCAACCAAATTTTTTTTAATAGTTCCTTTGTCTCTTACTATTTTCTCACCTAAAACTCTTTATTTTCTTAATTTACTCACTGCATTCAGTTTCCTTCAATCTCCCGAGAAACATTTGGGACGAGGAGCGAATATAGATCAACTGCGTAAACTTACAAGTTGGAGGAATATTTGGCAACTTTTTTATTTTTAAAGAGCTCTTTCACCAAATTATTGGAGGATTTTTTTAAATTTTTATTAAAAGATCAAAATAGGGAGATATTTTTAAAGAACTCTTGAGGATGCTCTTAGGACATACTCCATCTGTTCCAAAAAAGAAAGACGTTATGGGATGCATGTAGGTCAAACTTTCTCAACTTTGGCTAAGTTTGTAGAAAATACGTGCAATATTTATATCTCCAAATAAGTTTATTATAAAAGTATATTCAACGATCTATCTAACGATACTAATTATGTATTATAAATATAAATATTTTTTAATATATAATTAGTCAAAGTTAAAAAGTTAACTTCTCAGGAAGCGAGAACATATTATATTTTGAGATAGATGGATTATACAGTACTTCTCTCTCTTTTCTTGGGTTGGGGGGGTGCCCTAACTTGTTATTGCATAGATGATCCCGTAATATATCCTTTAGTTATTAGACTAATCAAGACGCTTAAGTCAGTTTATCCCCAGCTAGCCCTAACTTGAGTTTGTTGTTTTTTCAAACATGGTCTGTTTAAATTCACTCCGACGGCATGTGTTCTAGGGCACATCTAGGGCAGCCAGCCTTTGGGGTTTTACTTAGCCCACATGAAAGAAGCTTCTTCTTAGGTGCAATATTGTGAGTGGTCTTTCCTGTACACCGAGTTAAAAAAACAGAAAAATAATAATCTAGTTTTCTCGCCTCTCTTGGCAACAAACAACATTGTCGCCAAATAGGTAATTTGACAAAAGATCACATTGATTTTGCTCCAAACTAAGACGATTTTTAATATAGGTTGGTTACTTAAGCTTTCTAAGTTTTATAAATGCCTCTTCCTATAGCCAATGAGTAGGTCACCAAGACATTAATTACTAGCATAAAACATAAGGGAGATATAGAAGCACGACCCTAGCTTCGATTTGACCTAAACACACTATGTACATTCTATGGGTTATACTTCCTTGTCCTCAAATAAATCAGTTTCTAAAGTTGTCTTGAGTTAGAAAAAAGAACACCAAGACATATGATATCAAATTAGTATCACTAGATACATCATAAATATTGGTATGTGTTTAAAAAATCTAGTTAAACTTTAAAAAAATTGACTTAACAACTTCAGAAGTTGATTTATTTAGAGATGGATAGAGTACTTGTGAAATGTGTACCCCACGTCCCCACGTGCAATGCTTTATAATAGTCCAATGATGATTAACTCTACCTAAGAACCACATTCTCATATCTATGAGTGCCTTGACCTTTTGTAATCTTGGATTTTGTATATTATTGTAGTTTCCTTTTAGACACTAGTACATAATCTATCTTCTATTTATAAAATTGATTTCACTGAGGCTTTTGCCCATAGTTTCCGATAAAAAACATCTGTTTACGCATCGTCCATATGCAATCATGAATTGTGTTGATGTTTGCATCGCTCATTCATCATGTGCAGGGACTGAAGAATAATTCGGTCTGGTTTTAAGCGCAAATCTAGTTGTGCCAATTTTCAAATTTCACTGAATACATCAGGAAAAAAAAGAGATATATATGGTCAAGACTCAAGAGGCACATTATACGTGCAAATCTAGTTTCACGTGCTTCAGTTGCAAGAGTACAGCTGATTGGTTTGAAACCTTTTTGACAAAGGTCACTGGAATAATCTTACCAAGGTCCAACTAGCAAGAAACTGGCTGTTTTCAGCTTCAGTTGAACAACACAACTACTCAACTAAACTGCTCGTGCAGTAGAGCGTGCAAATAATATTACAAGGACTAAAGGACTGCCAAGAACGATTGGCTTGCAACTTCACATACCCTTATAAGGCGATGATAACCAAACAGAATTCTGCACCGTTGTGAGGGTTGCTTACGAGTAAAGAATCAGCTCCCCTTTTGCAACACTTCTGTTAGGAACTGGCAGTGGGCTTGGCCCAAGTGCGTGGCCCAGTTGTGGATGTGTATGGACCACCAAGTGGGCAAGGGAAGAGGGCATGACGGGTGAACTGCTTTCCTGTAACTGAATATAACAGAACCCTCCCACGGAACCTGCCGTGTTCTTCACCCTTTTCCCTGTGTTCTTGCTGATTCCCCGAATTGCTAGTATCTAGCTACCGAGTTCATAACAACTTCTTATCTCTGCACTCATCATTTCAATTTTGTAATCCATTTGCCTCAGCTTCTTGATATATACCAACATCACTCCATCAGTGTAGCATTGCTTGCTCTGCTTCTTTCTCCCAGGCAGTATAATTTCTACCGCCGCCTTCATCCACATTTACCCGTAAGGATTTCCATTCAAGCCTTGTGAAGAAGCATTTCTCGATATCATCCAGTGATACACCTTCATTGTCGTTACTGTATCTAATGTAAGGCAGATGACAATTGTTGATGTGTGCCTCCCCCTCCTGGACACACCAATTAGCTGTTCATTAACTACAATTTATACTCGTACTCTCTCCGTCATAAAAAAAATACAATTCTAACATAATGTTATGATTTAGTATGTTAAGTTTGATTAATTATAGATAAAAAAATATCAATATTTATAATATCAAATAAATATCATTAAATTAATTACGAAATGTATTTTTATAATAAATTATTTTGGAGCCACATATGTGAATAATATTCACTAGAAATTTAGTTAAACATGAACTATTTTTATCGACACGTAACCCGTAATTGCATTCTTTTTTGGATGGTGTGAGTAGTTCTAAGCTCTCACAGCCATCCATTGTGGCTCTCCTTTGACCAGCACCATCCATCGTGGCGTCCTTTGGCAGGACCGCAAGACACCGCCAGCCAGCAGCACTTCTTAGCGATTGGAAGAGCTCCAGTTGTAAATACAATCACTCCCAACTAGTCAGACGCTCAAAATGTCAATTGATTCAGGTGGACATCAGCAGAGAATCACTTCTTCATTTACACTACAGGCTGGGAGCTTAAAAAAATCTGCTTCATCCTACTCCCTGTTATATTCTGGTGGAGATCAGCAGAGAATCAATTCTCATGGACTCCTCACCCTGTTTTCCGGTAGGAATCAAATGGAGGCCTAGTTTAGCTCCAAAAATTTTCACCACAAACGCTCAAATCGAATATCAATTGAAAAACTTCATAGTTTGGTTGGAAATCGCGAGAGACGAATGTTTTAAGACTAATTAGTCCATTTTACACTACATGCTGGGAGCTTAAAAAATCTGTTTCACCATATTCCCTGTTATATTCTGGTGAAGATCAGCAGAGAATCAATTGTCGTTAACTCCTCACCCTGTTTTTTCAAATATTGGGATCACTCCGTCAGATAATAAGGAGTAGAGCTGAGTAACTAGGAGCGCTCTCCGAAACGCGGCCTTCTCTCTCTGTCTGCGCCGGACCTCCCTCCCCTTTTCTCTCACGAGCACACGCAGGAGCAGGAGCGCAGGGCTTGCATCACGACAACACACCAAGACAGCTCACGGGCGCTCTGCCTCCCCCCTCCCTCCTCTCCCCCGTTCCCCAACGCGCTTTCCCCACCGCCGCCGCCGCCGCCGCCTGCATACGCCATGGCTAAGCTCGCGCTGGCCGTCCTCCTCCTGCTGCTGGCCGTGGCGGCGTCCGCGTCGGCCGCCGGCGGGAGCCACCTGGACCTGGGCTTCCTCTCCTCGGGGGGCCGGAGCCGGAGGGAGTGCGGCGGCACGGTGGGCGAGTGCCTCGCCGAGGAGTCGGAGTCCCTGGACCTGGGGGCGTCCGCCTCCGCCGAGTCCCACCGCCGCGCGCTCTACGGCGGCGGGTACATCAGCTACCGCGCTCTACAGCGGGGCAACGTGCCCTGCTCCCGCCGCGGCGCCAGCTACTACAACTGCCGCCCCGGCGCGCAGGCCAACCCCTACCACCGCGGCTGCTCCCGCATCACCCGCTGCCGCGGCTGAGCTGCCCGGATCCGCCGCCCGACTGCCGTGCCGTTTACAAGTCCTAGAGGAGATGGATTCCTGCCCTGCCCCCTACCTAATACCTATGCCATGCCTGCTTAATACCGTGCTTATCAACATAGGAGTATACCCTTACTTTCCATTGCTTGATTGGTTGGTTCTTGGATTGGATTGATTGTTACTCCATAAAACAGATTCAGAATTTCCTTTGCTGCTTGCCGCCTTAGCCTGTCCATGAATGGTCTGGAGTGCCACTCCTGGCTCCCTGCTCTCTCTTCGGTTCTGTTCCATCTCATCTCACCTGCATTGACTGCAGGAATGGACAGCACACACCACCACGAACATGGAAGGATGAAGTTAACATGCGTCCTTGTTTTGAATCTATCTATCTCGTACTAGCTTTTTACTCGCTAAACATGTACGGCACTACAGCGTCTCCTTTGTTTAAGATTACAATACTAGTTCTTTCAGGCTGGATCAGAGGATAGTGATAGCCACGTTGCGTTGCGTGTTTGTTACCTGATTGATTGGTGCCGCTGGCCTCTTGATTGGAACCATTGCATTTGACCACACCACAGAAGCATTATTGACAGTATCGTCAGCTAGTCCAACTCCATGACTTGCATGGAGTACATTCTCAGATTGCGAAAGCACAAGCATCTACTAGTTTTTTTAGGGGGGAAAGAACCATAAGCGTCTGGCATGGTTGTGTCTCAACTCTTGCAATTTCTGTGGATTCTGCTGAGAGCTCGGCGATGAAACATAAGTATAGAACCATTTTATTTCCCAAATACTGTATTTCCTACGGTGGATTATATTCGTTTTTTGGACGGTGGGTGAGAGGAATAAGTGCCGTGTCCTACGGCGTTGTGAGCTGTGAGTGGTGACGCAGCATCTTCATCATTCTGCGCGCCATGTGGATTTGCTGGTTGTTTATCGAGGGAATGAATGACCTGTTAATTCGTTTGTCAGCAGAGTACCTGTTAATTTGTTTATCTATAGAGCTACCTTAAGTCAGTTTTTTAGTTTGACCGCATTAGAAAAAAAAAGGAGCACTAACATTTACGACATCAAAATAGTGTCGTTAGATAGATCATAAAATGTAATTTTAATAGTGTTCTTATTTGGTGTAATAAATAATTTTTCTTTTTTTCCTCTAAAAATTCAGTCGAGACAACTCTATAAGTTGTTTTATTTGGAGACGGATAGAGTACTTGTGAAATGTGTACCCACGTGCACCCAATGTTTTACAATATTCCAATGATGATTAAACTCTACCTAAGAGCCTCATTCTCATATTTATGAGTGGCTTGACCTTTTGTAATTTTGGTTTTTGTATATTATATTATAGGGGGCGTTCGCTGGTCTGAAAAGTTCAGACCAGCCGGCTGGTTCCCCACTCATTTTACTGTTCATCCATCCAACCAAACATTGTTTCTCTCTCACAAAACCAGCCAGTTTCAGTCAAGATTCTGCTAGCCGAACGGGGCCATAGTTTCCTTTTAGACTCTTGTACATGAACTCTTTTCTACTCCATCCTAAATTATAAGCCATTTCAACTTTCTTAATGAGTCAAAACATCTCAAGTTTGACTAAATTTATATAATAAAATAATAACATTTATGATATCAAATAAGTATCATTTGATATCATAAATTTTTGTAATTCTCTTTATAATCTTGTTCAAGCCAGATGTTTTGACTCTCCAAGAAAATTGGAATGGAGGGAGTTTTAAAAAATGAATTTCACTGAGGCTTTTGCCCCATAGTTTCAGGGAAAAACACATGTGTTTATGCATCGTCCATATGCAATCATGAATTGTTGATATTTGCATCGCTCATTCATCGTGTGCAGGGTCCGAAGAACAATTGTTTTGGTTTTAAGTGCAAATCTAGCTATGCCAATTTAAATATCAATGAAGAACCAGGAAAAAGATATAACATATGGTTAAGACTCAAGAAGCACAATATGCGAGAAAATCTAGTTTCACATGCTTCCAGTTGCAAGAGTTCAGCTGATTACAAAGGTCCAACTAGCTAGAAACTGGTTGTTTCAGCTTCAATTAAACAACACAATTACTCAACTACGCAGCTCATGCAATAGAACGTGCAAAGAATTTTACAAGGACTGAAGGACTGCCAAGAACGATTGGCTTACAACTTCACACACCCTTACAAGGATGATAACCAAACTGAAATCTGCACCCTTGTGAGGATTTGCTTACGAGCAAAGAATAAGCTCCCCTTTTGCAGCACTTCTTACCTCTGCACTCGTCATTTCAGTTCTGATTTCGGTTTGCCTCAGCTCATTGATACTTACATCAGTGGCATTGCTTGTTCTGCCTCTTTCTTCGCCAATTGTGTTACTACCTTCCGTTATGTAATCAGAGGAGCTAAGCCACTCCACCTCTTTCTCTGAGGGAGGAGAATTTCTGCTGTCGCCTTCATCAACACTTTCCCTCACTGATTTCCATTCTAGCCTTCTTAAGAAGCATTCCTCAATATCATCCAGTGACACGTCTTCATTGTCGTTACTGAATCTAACGTAAGGCAAATGACAATTGGTTGATGTGTGCCTCCTGGACACACCAATCAGCTGCTCATTGTCTACTCTTAGTGCAGCGGCCTTGTCAGTATCTTTTGGTCTTTCGTTAGCACTGCAATTATAGTTCTCACTGCCACTATCATTTTCATCATCCTGTTGGTCATGGTCATCCTCCTCATCAAGTTCATCAGATAAAGATGACGAAGATGAAAATGACGAATAGGCTCCTGCATCATCATCCTCGCGTTCCCGAAGTGTTTTGAGAATCAAGGTTTTGAGCAAGTTCATGACTTGAACAGCATGCATCAGAGCTGTCAGAGGATCGGACATCTGATTGGAGGAAAATTTCGATTTTCTTGTTAGCACATGTGTCATGTCAGCAAACAAGGTTGATGTGTTAGGATTTGACAAGAAGGAAATACCTGTGTCATATTGGGTGCAAAAACCATGGCAACATTTCTTGCATTCATCTTATTTGACTCCTCTTCCTCAACAACATCAGCCATGAGCTCAACGACCCAATGAAGAAGTGCAGCCTGGGTTGCAGGAAGAAGCTTTACGAGCTCAATGCATTGCTCCTCTGTGTTGCAGTGAAGGACTTGCTCAGGTGAGAGCCTGTCAAGCACACCCTCAGGGAGTTCTCTGAACCAGGCCTGATTCATATGGACATTACATAATGTAAACGATCAGACAAAAGGAGATTCAACGACATTGCTCTATTCATGGTTCAGCATTTGCTACAGTGCGGAGTTCTAATGACACAATTAAGTATATTAAATTATCACCACATAGACATGTATTGTTTATTTTTTTTTTTTAAGGCAAGTGCAATGGAAAAAGAGAAAAAATGCAAACAAGATATCTGTGGACCACAAATCTTGATGTACAGGGTTGAACTAAACTGACAAGAAACATACATCAGATCCATTTTTATTCCAATAACAATCATACATCATAGCTGGAGAACCCAAACTTCATCTTCTGAACAATCGAAGGTTAACAGTTAACTTAAGAGTTACAGCATCTCAGTTCATACCTAATTCAATATGTACTACTACACTCCATTAGTGGAGCTGACAATATATAGAGGACCTCATGTGCCATATGGGCCTTGATACACTCAACAACAAGTATGCAATTTCAATTGGGGGCGTGGTCTACCACTTAATCACAACATGCTGAGTAAAGTTCTGAAAGTTTAGAATAAATATTTTTCAACGGAAAAGAAATCAACAGCAACTCATACAGTATTTGAAATCATTAATCAAAGATTGTAAAAGTAGCGTGCATTTGTAACACAATAGCATTTCAGGAGACGAATTTCAATACTAACACCTAATGAATTCAGTTTCGCTCCTCCCAGTTGAAGACTGCCTATACTGTCATTGACTCAATATGCCTCTTTTACATAGAAAAGTTAAGCTACCTTCTTGAACTAGAAAATGCTTGAATGATCATTCTTTGAGATTAATACTACTTGCTACTTGATCCTAGACCACTAAAATATTGTCCCATGTCTTGAGACTATCACAACATTAGGTTCACCTTCCAACTTGCCACGACATTATCGAACAACTTTTGTTTCAGTGTTACTCTTTAAGAGAAAATTGAGAGTATTAAGGCTCAAGTGCTTGCTACTTCCTAGGGTAAATCTCTACTGATGATCATTGATTGTTTGATTTACACGCTAATTCAAATAAACGATAGAATTTAAATGCTAGTGCATCAGTTCTCAGCTATTAAATTGCTCAGCCACACTGACATGGCATTGCCAAATACCTTGATCAAACTGGCAAGGCAGTGCACGTCGATGTCGTCAGGCACGATGCCGCTGTTGAGCTGCTCCCTGACATGCTCCTCCTGGCTGTTCTCTGGGGTGATCCGGAAGATCCCCTCTGCCTGGAATTGCAAAAGTAATTTAAATGGCTCAATTCGACTGTGCTCGGACACTATTTACAACTCCCAAACCCCAAACTGAATGGCTTGAACAACCTTGAGTCCATCCTGGGCGTACAGCCTCTCTTGCATGAGCAGAAGGATCTTGGGCACCGAGTTCCCCTTGTCGTCGTAGCCACACTGCATCGACTCCGGCGACACCCCGAACACGCTGGCGCTGCCCGAATTCAAAAGAAGACATCAATAATCAGGCTCGGGACAGAGCATCCGGGCATCAGTATCAGCATCAGCTGGGGACAGGAGTAGAGAGAGCAGAGCTGGGGTTCCCAGACCCGAACCGACCTGGCGCTGGGGACCTGGCCGGGGATCTCGAGCTCGAACTCGACGGGGAGGCCGAGGAAGCCGTGGAGGCGGTCGAAGGTGACGTGCGCGACGTGGCGGACGTCGGTGGGCCAGCCGATCTCCATCCCCCAGGCCGCGCCCGCTGGGTCGTCGGCGTCCACCATCTGGCACGGCAGCACCACCGACTTGCGGAGCGCGGCCAGCACCAGCGCCAGCACCTGCCCCTGTCCCTGCCCCTGCCCCTGCCCCTGCTGCCCGTCCTCCGCCTTCCCCTCGCTTCCCCCAGCACCACCCCCGCCGCAGCCGTTGGAGCTGGGCACCATCATCACCTCAGCCATGGTCACTCGCTGCGGTCGTGGCTCCTCACAGGCGCTTGGTGGAGCTGGGCTGAGCTGAGCCGAGGTGAGTGACGGCAGGCAACCTCGATTTGGGGAAAGCCATGGCCTTTTAAACGCAGACAGTCGGGGATGATGCTTTTGGCTTTGTGTCGTTGCGGTTGCGATCCGCGATTTTGAATTGGGGAAAGCTCGTGGAGGCCCGGGCCCAGACGAGACGAGAGGGAGCTCCAACGGCCGTGAAATTCAAATGTCCGGCAAGTTTTTGCACCTGGGTACCTTGAACTTTACCATATCACGAGAAAACACCCTTCAGGGACATTGTGAAGATAAGGAATTTTACTGGATAAATTATTTCCAAAGATTATTTTAATAACGAACATAAAGGGGATGGATTCATTTCAGAAAATTGTTATTGTGATCCAAACATATTTCTTATGCAGCACGTGTTTGTAACGGGATGGGTCCATCCTACTTTTGCAAGCATCTAGTTCAGAGCATGAAATAAGGGCATGTTTGATCCATATTTCTAAACTTTAAAGTTCTAAAAACTTTAGAGCACTTTAGCTCACTTTTGAGATCTAAAGCTATAATGTGAGGATGACTAAAGTTTAGAGCTAATTTTAGATCATCTGTTTGGAGCTTTAGCTCTAAAGTTTAGAGGTGAGGATTCAAACAGGCCCTAAATAGGGTCATTCTTGGAGGAAAATGTTGCCTCAAGAGGTGAGACGACCTCTTCCCTTTGAAACGACAAGCGAATGGGTCCACCTTTGTTCCCATCCGTGCGGGATGCGATGGAGCAGGCGTGTAAGCACACGAATCGAGGTGAGATTGGAGGGGTAGGTGACGGTCATCGGCACAAAGGGGAGGATGGAGGGACGGGCTCCGACCGTGGAGGCAACGAAGAATGTGTTTGACTAGAGGGGTGATGTTGAACGGGATGGACCGATTCCACTTTTGCAAGTAGTTATATGGAGGGATGGCCCCGGACATGGTGGCGAGACTGGAGGGGCGAGACCCAGCCTTGAAGGTGAGGGTGGAGGAGCGGGCCAGCCGTGGGTGCCGCAGTGGCAATGGGGTACAAGCAAACAAGAGGAGGAAGAAGCGACAGGAAAATGAAGGAACAAAGGAGAAAAAGAGAAAGAGATTGGCAGGTGGCCCTCATAGTTCAGGTGCATAATCTCACTTTTAGTGTCCCCAAACCAAGCACAAAATACGTACAGTTGCATCTATCTCAACCAAACATGAAACATGAGCATCCCATCCCTAGAATTAGGAATGGAACCATTCTATCCCACTATGTCTCCAAACCAAGCACAAAATCTAACAGAATTTCCTATTCTGAATGCGAATTTTGGTATTTTTGCAAATAAGTATGATGGTATTGACAAAAATACAAATAGAAACACAACATCAAACAAGTGAACCAAAACCTTTTGGGTTTCACAATAACATATGTTGTCTACACCTAACCCTATCCAATTTAATTTGACAAAATTAGAAACAGAAACACAACTTCAACCATGTGAACTAATATTTTTTCTTGGACAACTCAAAGTAGGCCATCATGTCAAAGTCGCAAAGTATAAAAAGCTACAGGCAAGCTACTGAAGAAATTATCTGGGGGTACAGACATTGCTATAGGAATTACAGGTTCATAGCACTTCATCAGCTCTACTATATGGTGTGATACTATTGGTGCAAAGTATCTATCATTGGATCATGCCTTTTATGCCAGAATAAAGCATATTGATGTGGTCTATCATTTTATCATATATATATATATATATATATATATATATATATATATATATATATATATATATATATATATATATAGAGAGAGAGAGAGAGAGAGAGAGAGAGAGAGAGAGAGAGAGAGAGAGAGAGAATTATTGAAAATTGATTTTGTGCTTTAGTAGATCAAGTGGCAGATGGATTCACAAAAGCTCTAACAGTTCAACAATTGGAGAAATATTTCAAGCCCAATCTCAACCTGGGCAAACTGTGATTTAGGGGCACTGTTAAACAATTTATGTGTGCACGTGTTTGATAAGTATTGAGTAACAACTTATGACATGTGGGCGAGAGATTTATTTGTGCCGTTGTAGATTAGTTTGGATAGAATCTATTTGTTGTAAGCTTGTAATAACAAACTCAATCAAATATCTCTCAAGGTTATGCCTAGCCATCTACGTATAGCCATGCCTAGGGCTATTATAGACATTATGATCAACATGCATACACCAATGACCCAAGATTAGACACAGTAATTCCCTGTGCACATTTGATTTCTTTTGGTTAGATTTAATTTAGGGAAATAAAAAAGAGACTTAAAGCCACAGACTTGTTTCCCATCATCCGACTCAATGTTGTCGCCATGTACAGAGAGACAAGGATGTATAGTGTGTCATAGAGTTCAGAGTTTGGATTAGGGTTTTAGGATGTACCACGTTCAACCGCCTTGGAGCGAGTTTGTGGCTTGTTGGTTGGTGTTGGAAATGGTGGGACTGTGAGTTGATAATAGCACCATTGGTGACATGAAGGTGTGACAATTGCGAGAGTGGGTTGCAAGAATGAACGAGCAGGTGTAGCATTAAGGACAATGAGAGTATAATATGGTTAGGGGGATGGTGAGAGATTTTGGGTTGTGTGAAATGATGCTCTTAAATTCTCTTTGTTTATGTGAATCGCTCCATTTTTATAGAACTATCACTGTAATCTCATCTACTACATTTGTCTCAGTAAAGTAAAGATGTAATTCTACAATAATGTTCATTCAAACACTATTACATTTATCAACCAAATTTATAAAACACTAATATTTCAAATTATAACATATTATTAGATTCGTCATGAAATATATTTTCATAATATACTTATTACTGAAATCATAACGTGAATAAATATTTTCTATAAATTGAATCAAAATTAAGATAGTTTGACTCGTACCAAATCTAGAATTGCATCGTTTATAGGACAGAGGAATTATATTGGTACCGATCTTTATGGCCACAAAGGAACATATCAACAGGGAAGAAGAGAGGAGGATCAGGTCACTCATGATAAAGGTTTTTTTTGCCAAATATCGGATCGTAGGATCCCAAGTAGTATTTTTTTTACAAATTATACATATAAGATCTGCAATATATTGCATAGATTGGAGGCTAAAATTTCATTTTGATTAATTTATACTTTCTACATTCAAATAATTGCAATTCTTGACAGTATTTTCAACACCTCTTAACTTTAAATAGTATTTATCTATAAAACATCATTTAAAAATGATTTACATTAATTGTTATATGATATCGTAGAATCGGAAATCAGGATATACAAAAATTTATTGTAAGACCGAGAAACTATAAAATTTGAGATATATAGTAGGATCATGGTATAATGTCAAGATATTGTTAGATTTTACAAATTATACATTCTATGTAAGATCTGCAATATATTGCAAAGACTGGAGGCTAAAATGTTCATTTTGATTAATTTATACTTTCTACATTCAATATAATTGCAATTCTTGACAGTATTTTCAACACCTCTTAACTTTAAATAGTATTTATCTATAACTGAATCATTTAAAAAATGATTTACATTAAATGTTATAAGATATCGTAGAATCGGGAAATCAGGATATACAAAAATTTATTGTAAGACCGAGAAACTATAAAATTTGAGATATATAGTAGGACCATGGTAGTATTCAGACAATTCTAGGATAGGTATCCGGATGTTGCTTAGCTCATGACTGTACAGTTTGGCCGTACGATGTGCGAAAGCAAACCCTGTGGCAAGCGTAAGCCCCTCTGCTTTTATAAGACTTCGATAAAGGGAATCACAAGAACGCCGTGAGCTTTCTCACTCGGCGTGTTCATCAACCAACACGAGCTACGCATACGCTGGGGCCGCGCCACGCGAGATGGGCCGGGCCGGTATGCCGGTCTGTCACGTGGGGACCAGTGCCAGACTTGACGCCCCCGCCTGCCCCGACCACATTCGCGTGGCGTGCAGGCCGGCTGCCGGTTCGGGCGCGCGGCGCGCCTCCGCGCGACCGCAGCAGCTGCAGCGGTTTCGAATTTCTCGAGAGGGAAACCTCCTGGCTCCTGCACGATTTGGGAGCATTTTCACGAAGTCTCGGCAGTCAGCACGTGTATGCAACAGGAGCTATTGCCACGCACGCATATTACAGTCTACAGTCATCTTCCATCGTCGGAGCATTTTCACCTCAGCAGGTACCCCAGTTTGCCACGGCGCAGTGCTACAATCTAATTCTACATGTTCAGTATTAGAGTCCTTTTAAAAGGCAGGAATCATTCTGCTGTTTTCCATCAGAGCTCAGGAATCATACTACAATGCACCACCAAACAAGCTTATAAATATTATATTATTCTTTATGGAAGCAACCCACCATTTTAACACATGGAAGTAAGAGATTATCTCCATAGATCACTCAAATATCATATAAGATATGGAAACACAGGACTTTTACACCAAGAGTGAAAACTTTCGTTTGAGGATTGCTCGAATATGAGCTTCGGGCAAGCCCTAATATCCTCGAAATCTCCAAGCATGGCATCATGAAGCTCATGTCCTTATCATCCTCCCTTTCTTGATCCATATTTTGTAAAATCCTGCACCATGCAAGGTGTAAAATTTGCAACAACTGTTTGGTTTGTAGCATGTCTTGTCCTACATCTCCACCCCAATAATCCTCGGACTAATCATCCCTTCCCACATACCAACAAAACTAGAGGAATATGGCAAACAACAAAGATTTTACTATCCTCTAGTTGATCATTACTTTGCACAAACAAAAGGAGAATTTGGATTTGTACAAATATAAACTCGTTGTATCAAATATTGTCCTTGGTTGTTATATTTGTCAAAACATAATATGTATGTCTAGAGAACCATGGCAAATCAAATATATGCATAAAGTTTCTCCTCTAAAGAACTAAAATTACACGGAACATCAAATTCAATGTAACCCAAAGTATTTAAAGAAGACAAAATTTCAATCATCAACTTTACTAGCATTATGAATAACAAGTCTATTTCAAAGAAAGTGTTCGATTCCAACACACATATAGCATGATCATTCATTAATGGTTGCATGGATATAACATAAATTTCATCATGCAAGTCATCTTTATCACAAGGAACATCAAGCAAAGCATCTCGTGACAAAGGTAAATCAAGCGAAAGCTCCATTAAAATTGCTCTATCTTAGCATGATTGGTGATCTTCAGCACATCAAGAGATACTCTCAACCCCACATTTCAGATGAACTGTTTCAAATGATACTCATTACTTTGTGTTTATTTGAAGAGTAAGAAATGAACAAAGATTCAAACAAGAGACGTGGACTGTATGGCAGGTGCACGACGTAGGTACAACTAAAACACAAGGTACAAAACTTATAGTTTTTGCAGGTAATGACTGATGCATAGAGGACCCAAAAACCACTGCTCAAACTCAGGATTTGGGTGAACAACCGTCCATCATGTCTAAACAAGAACATCCCCTGCATGCAATGAACTGCCATGTAGATGCTTCAATTCGACCAATCAACCAGAACACATCTTTGAGGCTGCTGAACTGGGCGCCCACACGAGCTGCTTGTAAACACTTTAAAGGATGAAAACCTAACGAGAAGCATGAACATTATATGAATAGGTTCATAATTGCTAAGATCATAAACAACTCAGATTCCACAGCCAAATAGGCCTCTATGTGCTCATCTAAATATTGTTTCACTTTTACCCCTTTTTTATCTATTTTTGGTCATAAGTGTTTTTTTTTAGGATTCTTTGACTTTTTCTTTTTATTTTTTGATATTTTTCTTCACTTAGGAGCACAAAAAAAAGTAACCACATAAAATATGTGCTTAAACAAGTGAAAGGTGTGTCCTGTGGAAAATTTAGAAGACGTGCTCGGAATTGACAAAAAGCTCATGACCACGAAAAGAAGATCTTGTGACAAGCCGGACCAAAATAAAATTTTCCGAACACACGCCTCTAAAATTCTCAATCGATTACAAGATATGAAGATAATCAAACAAAAGGCGATAGACTAGACTAGCGAAATGAATGCAAATAGTGAAGATAAGTTGACAATCTATTCTCCATTCTTTGTGAAAAAACTTAGTTGTCAAAAAGTGTTCTCGCTTAGTGAATTGTGAGGTGATACAAAACACTTCAGTTTTTAGAATAATTCTTGGAGAAACTTTTCTTCAATTTATGTACAATAACAACGCTAATCAAACAACGCGAAATCGAAATTGCACAAAGACAACGTGAGGCGTAATATTTTTTTGGCTTTTTGGACTATAAATGAAAGAACCTTTATAGAAAAAAAATGACAAGTGACAACAAGGGCTGATACCACTTGATGTGTAGACAAGTCTTGTGTTATGGGTCACTGGTGGAGACTCGATGTTCTTGATCTAGGCTTGAACAAGACTGCCGCCCGCAAACACCCAACACCATCAACCATGAATCGATTGACCTCATGAAGGCTTTCACGAATCGAGAAAAAAAAACGGGATGAAAAAAATTCGAAAAAATAAATTTCAAGTCTTTATTCGAAGGACTAATCGCCACGGGCAAATAAGATCAAGAACTAGGGCCCCGGTTCACATCAAGCGGCTTTGGTGGCACATTCTAGCTATTTCAGAGGAAATCAAGAACCAAACCAATATATGGTCCCTTTGCTACTAATTATATAGCCCCGAATCCCCCTCGGAGGCATCCCAAACGAAACCACCCCAAAAAGACAAGATCCCAGACCCTGGCGCGATTCTCGGGCGCCACCATTTCGATGATTCCCGCGGCCTCAAAGGCTTGTGAGACGCATTGGCTTCCTTAGCAAATTAGCTTTCACCTCCATGCTAGCATTCACCAACGACCTCCCTTCCTTCGCTTGATTTGGACCTCCACCTTGGTGACTCAAACCGTATGAGCTTGGGCCTCCTTCTCGCTTAGGACACCCTTGCGATCTCCTCGCCTCTATCTCCAAGCATGTTGAGCTTCATGTCCTTACATCAAACCAATCACCTTCTTGTCCCAATCTAAGCCCAAACGAAAACACCCCCTTTGAGAATGGCCCATGGTGGCCTTCTCATGTCGCCCGGCCCACCTCATCACTAGCATTCACCAACGCCTCCTTTCCTTGCGAGCGGGGCCATCATCTATTTGAGACCCGCCTTCTTAGCTAAGCTACTAAGCGGCACGTGTGGTCTCAACTCGTAGCCATAGTTTCCTCCCTCACCCGATACTCCCATCCATTTCCACAGAGACGTGGAGAATTCTAGCAATGGCGGGTGGAAGTCGGGGTTCGAATTGATCGGTGATTACTTCTCTCCGTAGGGGCAGCAGAAGCCACCGCGCCAAGACATCACCAACGACAATCCGTTGGCCGCTATCTCATCGAACACCTCTGATGGTGCGGTGCTTGTTTGGGATCCGCCACCCAACCTTCGGTACGTGCTCTCGCCTAGCGTCTTCCCTCTCCTTACACTCCATCTCTCACCACTATTGTTTATTTTCGCAGGGACATTGAGAATTCCAGCAATGGCGTGTGGAAGTCGGGTTTTGAGCTCATCGACGATTACTTCTCCCAGGAGGGGCCACCATGCCTAGATGACGTGGTGCTTGTTTGGCATTCGCCACCCAACCTTCAGCACATGCTCTCGCCTAGCGACTTCCCTCTCCTTATACTCCATCTCTCCCCAGTACCGTTCATTTGCACAGGGACATGGAGGATTCCAGAAATGGCGGGTGGAAGTCGGGGCTTGAGCTGATCGATAATTACTTCTCACAGGAGGGGCCATCACACCTATACACCACCAACGACAATCTGGTGACCGCTGGCTTGGTGAACACCTCGAATGGCGTGGTGCTTGCTTGGGAATTTGGGATCATTGAACACAATATCTCTATTGAACACCACGAATTGTTGTGGATTGGAATTAAGGTAGGAGGGTGAATTACAACATTTTTTCTGTATTAAGTTGTGTTTAGTGTTTATTTGACAGGGAATAAAGTTTTTTTGTTTATGGTCTTAATAGAGATATTGTGTTCTAGTAGATAGTATATTTGTTGCCAATCTTTGATAGGGAATAAAGTTTTTTTATGTTTGGGTTTTTATAGAGATATTGTATTAGTATATTTATAGCCAAATTTGGCTTTTTCATTTGTGTGGATTAAACAGATAATGTGTCTAACACCATTTTGTGTTCTTAATTATATGGGTATGGATAGTTGGTATACATGTGTACAATATGTGACTATATTGTTCTAGACACTAGAAATTTGTTGCATTTCGAGTTCACTCATGTTGGAATCTAGACAACTTCAACTTCACCGAGGTGAAGATTACGCTAGAGGTAACTAGCCCCACACAGGAAGGAGGTGAGAGAAAATGTTAGAGATTAGAGCTTGAAGAATGAGGGCGAACCCCTTGCCCTTGCCCCTTGGGCTCTATTTATAAGGGAGGTGCGAGGAGGCACTCTTCCTCCCTACCCCTTTAGTTTACAAATTACATGGAGGTCCTCGGACTTCTTGACACTTACCCCAAACAACTCATAAATCATACATAAAAATTTAAATAAGACAACTAAACAGTTAAAACTCATTTATTTTGAAAAATATAGCTTGATCATAGATATTCCAACAAGCACATAAAAACTCACATAATTCTTTTTTCTTTCGTGTTTTATTCAGATATTTAATCGGAGGATGATGGAAAAAACTATGAAGGAATTATGTGAGATGTCTAGATGTTGGTTGCTAAATCTTACTACTCTCTGTTTACTTGTCAGTGGTATTATTCTAGAATGTTTTCTGACATTTGTTATTTGTAAAGGTGTCATTTTTGTCTCTTAGTGTCCTTACCAAGATAAGCTAAAGCTGATTATCTCATATAGAAACAAGAAGATGATGATTTGGAGTATGAAAAAATAGCGGGTATAAATATGATGGAACGGTCTGTGTAGATGTGTTTAACCTGGGTAGTTTTTACTTCCACTTTGATAATTTCTGTTTCATTTTTTCCCTTGCAACTCCAGCTTTTATGGGAGGGTGGTGGTCTTGGTCGCACTTAATTTACTGACGTGCATTGAAGTAAAACATCAATCGGAGCATTTGCAGCTACATCTGGAGACAACATTAGCCTGTACAGTGTGGAAGGTAGAATTTTATAACATCTAATTGTAGGACTTTGATGTGATACTCCCAAATAACCGTGAGCTATTCATTTAATTAGATTGAATGATTAGAATCACGTGTTACTTTCTAGGAGGTAATAGGTGAAATAAGAAAAAGTTTTAGATATAAAGATCTTTTTTAGATCTAATTGATACCTGCATGATCTATTAGATATGACAAATCTTTTTTATTTTTGCAACTTTGGATATAATAGCATAACTTAATTACAATAAACTAATTATTTTTTGATGCACTTGTAACTCATGAACGCTACCTAACATGTGTATGCCTAGCTTTTATACTTCTTTATTACAAGGCCTTGGGCCCAACCAACCTGGCGCGCAGGCCAGCACTCACACACACCTAAGCCCAACAATCGCGGCCCAGTAGCCACGCTCGTCTCCCGCCTTCTCCTCTGTTTTATCGAACACGCTACAGGCTTTCCCTTCACTCTCCTGACAGAGACGTGTTAATTTGAGGCGGCAGCAGGAACAAAAACTCTGCAGTAGTATAAAACAATATGTTCACATTATTGTCAATCAGTGGACGAGATGGTGTGTGGACTGTGGAGAGTGGAGTCAGCTCTGATCCGGAAGCGTCGGCGGCGGGGCAGTCCGGAAGACGTGCTTCCGGCAGTTGTGGAAGATGCTGTCGTAGACGAGGTCGAACTGCACGCCTCCTCGCCGCCGGTTGATGACGAACGTCATGTGGTCCGCCTCCACGACCTTGTAGTACCAGATCCCTGGCCGCAGCGGATGGCAATCCTCATCGTTCTCCACCTGGACGCTGGGATGCTCGACGGGGATCCTCGGGTGGGTCATGGAGAAGGTGTTGAGCGCGCCGTCGTTGTCCTCCCAGTCCTCGTCCCTGTACCCCGGATACGGCGGGTGGGCGGCGCCGGCGGGGTAGCGCCAGCGGCACATCTGCAGGACGCGGACGAAGAGCAGCGGGTGGATCGTCGTCACCCCGGACGGCACGGTGGCGCCGCCGCCGCCGCCGCCCGGCGCCCTGGCGGTGCGGCGGCTGGCGTAGCTGAAGTAGAAGGTGCCCGGGAACGTGCGCACCCGTGCGTTGATCCTGGCGGCGCCCTGAATGGTAAGGTCCGGCAGAATCCAGTCCCCCGTGGCGAAGGGCCCTCGCTTGCCGTTGCCGTTGCCGCCGAGCAGGAGGTCCGCGAGGCCCGCCACGCCGACGAGGCGCCGCGACATGCCGAAGTGGTCGAAGCCGAAGTCGTAGTAGCGCTTCAGCCAGGGGAGGTCCAGCCAGTGGTAGAGCACGCTGCCGACGCGGCAGATCTGGAGGAGGCACACGGGCCGCAGCGACCGCCAGTTGTCGTCGTCGGCGCGCATCCCGTCGATGTAGGCGCGCGTGGTGCCGTTGAGCGCGCCGGAGAGGGAGGTGACGCTCAGCACCCAGCGCTCCGAGGTGTCGCGGTGCCCCTCGAACTCGCCGTCGTGGAGCATCTGCTGCAGCAGGCGGATCACCTGCGCGCCGGCCGAGTGGCCCACCAGGTGCACCGGGTGCTCCTCGTCCCACACCGGGTAGTGGCCTCGCGCGTACGTCCGGCCGAACCGGGAGTGCCCGTACGCCCGGCTGTGCTCCTCGCCGTAGTCCACCTGCCCGCCTTTCAGGTAGTAGAAGAGCTCCCGGGCCCTGTCGTGGACGCTGGTGAGCGAGCCCAGGTCCGGCACCAGCACCCGGTCGTCCTTCTTCTCCGCGCCGGCGAAGTACGACAGCCCGCCCAGCCTCTGCAATGCATGCACACGACCTACCTGTCACTAGTCTGTGACCGGCACCGGAGACGACGAACGAAACGAAAGCAGAGCATCCGTCGGAGCAAAATGAATGAAAAGTACGCACGCCTTTGCCGAAGCCGAAGATGCCGTGCACCAGCACGATGGGCGGCACGGCCCCGTCCAGCACCGCCGCGGCCTCGTCCTCGCCCTCGACGGCGACGCCCTTGGCCACGCCGCCCTTTCCGCCGGCCATCAGGGCCTTCACGAGGGAGGCCGAGACGTCGGCGATGACGGCGGTGCCGAAGATGTAGAAGGCGTAGCCCAGGTGGACGACCGCGCTGACGAGCAGCTCCGCGCCGCCCAGCGCGCCCAACAGCGCCGCCCTCGCCCGGCTCCTCATGCAGTGCAGGGCTCCCGCTCTTCACGGTCACGCCGCGGCGGCAGGCTTCTGCTCTGAGATGGAGGTGGAGTGCGTTCGTGTGCACGGCGGCGGGTGCTGTGCGGCTTTTGGAGGGAAACGGAAATCCGTCTGGAGAAGTCTGGTAGTTTGTAGAGGCACCTTTGCATGCTGAGTTGGCCACAAACAACTCCACGCCATTCCCGTGCTGTCTGCCTGGTCCACAACGCAAGGATTTCGTTCCTTCGGTGGGAGGCTCTCCTTTCGCTTTCATCCGGGATCCCAAATTCCGTCACGTTCCATCTCAAAAAAAAAAAAAACTGTCACGTTGGCTGACATCTGGGGCCGAGCAGATTAGGATAGTGCCATCAGGCGCCTGCAGGTTTTTTGCCCTTCTGTTCAGTTACTCAATGAGTGTAGCCCCATAGAAATTGATCAATTAGTGTAGTGTAGCCCCATCGAAATTGATCTTCAGATCACAATGAGTACACCCTCGAGCAGCAGACCGTTTCACCACCGTGAACCGTCAAATTGGGCTTCACATCCGTAATTGTTTCGATGCATATGCCTCGTCGTGTTAGTACTCTCTTTCTTCTAAATTATAAGCTGCTTTGACTTTTCCGATAATACTGCAAGTTAGACGTCCGTCCGCGCACGGACGCCCCCGGTGAACCCGTCCAGCAGCTGCAGTTTCTATCCGCTCCCTTCCGGTCACTGCAGATTAAAAAAAAATCACGCATCCGCTCCGCCATGGCTCCCGCACGCCTCCCTCTCTACCGTGCCTCCCGCCTGCCTTTCTCTCCACCGCCGCTGCGCCCGTACCGCCGCGGCGTGCTCCCCATGACCGCACCGCCGCGTCGTGCTCGCCACGCAAGGCCGCACCACCCGATTACTGCTGTCGCCTCTACCGCGGGCACCGCGTGCGCCCTATCGCCAAGGGCAGCACAACCGCCCGCCATCATCCTTCTCCTCCACCGCGACCGCACAGCCAGGATCCCGTTGTGCCATGCTTCGCCTGCCTGATTGTCATGTTTAGCTGAAATGCATGTTGCAAGCGTATGTTTCGAGTGCTTCAAATGTTTTAGAGGTATGTTGCAAGTGTTTCAGATTGATGTTGCAAAAAGTAGATCGAGATGTTACATATGTTGCAATAGTTGTACACGTATGTTGTAAAGGTCTGTTACCAATGTTTCATCTGTGTTTTTCGGACGTATGTTGCAAGTGTGTTTATTTGGACGTTGCATGTGTTTTATCTAGATGTTGCGTATGGTTGTAATGTTTTTCAAGTGTTTTCAAATGTTTTTTAAGTGTTTCATTTGTCTTCAGATGTACATTGCAACTATTTATTTGATGTTTCAAAAGCAGATTGGGTGTTGCATCTCTCCTCATCGCCTACATCGTCTCATTGTGTCCTTGTCCCGGTGCTAGCAGTGCATCCATATGACGCCGAGGCGGGTCCTTCCGAATCAGAGGCGCCGCCCCCTTCCCCTCTTGTCACACGGGCAGCGCGGGCCCGCGTGGAGCACGTGAAATGGAGTGCAGCGCACGAGCGTTCGTCCAGACGTCCGGACGCTAGCACTGCCATTGATTTTTTTTTGTTACATAGATTTTACTATGTATATAAATGTACGCTATATCTAGATACATAACAAAAATAATATAAAACAATAAAGCGACTTCTGAGGAAATACCGCTCTCTCTCTCTCATCTTCCGGCAAAGTTAAATAAATATCTAACCTCAGGAACATGTGTGTACAGCATCCAATTGAAACCTCGTGCACAGCAAATTTTTAGTCATCCTCTAGCAACATACATGAGTTCCGAATATCCTTTGCCAAGCTCTTCTCTCATTGTTGAAATCTGACAAACAAATAAACTACACTGCTTACCTTTGGTCACTACTCACAACGTCAAATGCATTCTTTAGTCTGTCATTGGAACTAAGATCATCTTCAACAAATTGAGAATAAATGATAATTTTCTCTATAACCAGTGATAATAGAGATTGCATGTAAAAAAACATGCCCCCAACATATCCCCTTTTCAATCTCTTTTAAATAATTTTTTCCTCAATTAAGAAAACCAATCCTCAATCCATCAAAGAAAGGGGAGAGCAACTCATGCCTCTCATTCCTCAGTCCATCAAAATCCATAAAAAAAAAATATAGGAGAGCAACCCATTATCATTCCCCAATCAACTCATGCCTCTCATTCCTCAGTCATCGAAATCCATAAAAAAAAATAGGAGAGCAACTCATTTCTCATTTCCCAATCCATCAAAATCCATCAAAAATATAGGAGCACCACACTGGAGGCCGAACGGGAGGTCACCGAGAGAGAGGTAGAGGGGAAATAGAATGAAAAAAATAGCCATTGTCAGGTGGGTCTTCAGCAACACCATCCTAAAACCACAAATCATGCTCCAAGGAAATCAGATCGACTGGTCTTCAAGCCAAGACCCCGGAGGACCCTCTTGCGCCACGCTGTTCCAAAAGAGTGAGCAGGGAGCTGAACCAGTTTTAAAAAGATGCGATGGCAACAATCATTACACAGTTTTATTTCTTATATATTCCATCCCTGGTATCGAAGCAGGAACAGAATCAATGATGCCCAAAACTCAACCTGATTTGAGGACTGCCGAAAACAGCTATTGCAAAACGTTTTCATAGCTGCACCAGGCAGAGACATACAACTAACAGAATCGTATAGACCGACAGCTTCGATCACTGTTGCATCTCATCTCCTGTGCTTATTCATCAAAGGGGGAGAAAAGGGAGGCATCCCCTTTTCACACTACAACAAATTCTGTGTTGCGCCTAAGGTACTTAGCCCAATCGAACGGACTTGGTGAAATATCCTCACGTCTAGTTCGCCTTTGACTCGATTACCCTCTTTGCAAAAGAGGGCAAACAGAATGATGCCGTGTGGATCTGAAAATACAGAATAGAATCAGGAAATAGCTCGTGGAGTTCTCATGCAAAGGCAGTGAAATCAGCAAAAATACACACCTCTGAGTTGTAGAACTTAAGGGGCCCTTTTGCTTTCGTAGAATGTTCATCCTCCTCAATGTTGAAAACAGGGTGCTGGAAATCAACAGCAGGCCCTTCGGTGGAGCAAAGCATGAACCCAATAACTCCGCTGCAATGGAAGCATGTTAACCAAGTGGAAAAAGGGGGAAACTGGCACAATCACATACACAGGATTAGCTGTGCATACCTAGGGTATGTAGGTACCGTTGTCCAAGCATAGTTAACCGAGCCTTTGAAAACTTGGCGACAATTGACAACAATATCTTCAATGATGTGCATATGTAGCCATATGCTCTCTGCCTGGGTGCATACAACTCCACCCGGACGCAAAGCTCTGGCCACCGACTGGAAGAAAGGCTTCTCAAAAAGCTCCTGAGCAGGACCTGGTTATGCAAGCAGATGCTGATAAAACATTAATGACAGAGCAGTAGGTACGAAACACACGATTAACAACAGTTACCTATCGGATCAGATGAATCCACAATTACTGCATCATAAGTACCCTCTGGAGCATTTTTCAAAAAGGCGACCCCTGCATTAACAGATCGACGGAGACTTTAAACAGCACATAAATATTAGCACAGAACTTATTAATCAAATACATCACATAAACATCCATCAAATATGAAGTGGGCCATTAAAAATTCAATATTAAACTATTAAAAGAATCGGAAAGAAAGGACATGACTAAAACTATGCACGGATATCAAGCTGGAACCATGGAAATAAAAAGCAGGGGCCAAGCCCAGGTGTTGTCAGGGGAACTTCAAAATGTAGCATATGCCAATTTAGTTATGGACCAAATAATAAACAAACATAGAATTATGTATTCAAAATAAATAAATAAATATAAAATAATATGCATTCAAAATTCCAACAAGAATTAACATGGATGAGACACAAACCCAACTAATGATATCAACACAAGTTGAAGTGTTGAAACCAGAAGTTGTATATCCTATGTATTGATTGTAATAAAATTCAAGCTACATTTGAACCAGGGACAAAAAAGACTCAGATGTTGCCTCCCAAACAAATAGTATGCAAAGCAAAACAAATCTTGACAAGCAGAGAATATAACATGCTACTAACCATCTCCAATGTGTAATGACACACGAGGGTCTTCAAATCCAACAGCTAGAAGAGGGAAAAATTGCTTGGAGACCTGCACAATGGAACAGACAATTAAAATTAAGTAACACAAGAGACAAACCATTGAAAAGGTTATATAACTGTTAAGACAACAACAAAGCCTTTTAGTTCCAAGCAAGCTGAAGTACCCAGTGCAGAGAGCTCCCGCTCTGTGCGGGGTCTGGGGAAGGGTGTTAGTGGCAAGCCTTACCCTCGCATGTGCAATGCGAGGAGACCGCGACTCGAACCCGGGACCTTCCGGTCACAGGCGGTAAGACTCTACCGCTTGCACCAGGCCCGCCCTTCTCCAAGCAAGCTGAAGTACGTTAACAAAATTGCTTTAAGAAATTTGCTAAATCTAGGAAGAAGATTGCATCTACAACAGACAATAGTTCATCAAATCAGCAATAATCATGAAACAAAGAACACCTACATAGCTAGGATTGTAGCAGGGTAGCAATACCAAGTGAAACACAACCCCACAAGACAAAAGATACAATTAAAAATAGTAATATTTCACTTAGCTGCTCCTAGAACTTCGAGGTCAGAGAAAAATAGCACAAATCACTAGCACAAAATGTAGTATCAAAATATGGAAATGAATGAATTTTAAAAATTGAAAAAGGCATAGCAGGAGCAGCTAACATTACAGTAAAAAAATCAAGTAATATCAGTAAAATCAATTGCAGACATAAATTTGAAGGTAGATAAAGACACGTAAACCAAAATTATTGGTGTCCAGTGTAATCTAACAGAAAGCAAATGCTCTCAAACATCTAAAAGCCCTTAAGCCACAAACACTGAAGTGCATTAATTACTAAAGAAAATATAATATCATTGGTC